GATTTGCGCAATGCAGTAAGTCATTGATTTCTTGACTGCTGCTTCCATAGACATTGATTGTGGATTCAAGTAAGATGAAATCCTTGACAACATCAATCTTTTCTCCATTTATCATGGTTTGTTGCTTGTTGGTGCAGTTGTGTGTGTGTGTGTGTGTGTTTGGTAGCAGTGTACAGGTCTGGAATTCAGGATGGAGACATCTTCAAACGTAGTGGCCAGTGGGTGGATCGGGAAGGAGTGGTGCATCACACTGAATAGAGGGGAGCCTGGTTGTGATGGTAGTGCTAGTAGCAGGATAGGAAGGGGAAAATAAGGGCCAAGGACCGGGTCCCTTGCTTAGCTTATGGTTGGGGTGACGGAGATGGAAGAAAGTGGCCATGTGAAGAGAGCAAGAAAGAGAATGACCAGATAGGTGAGCAAGCCTTCCAAGGGATGGATGGGCATGAGTATGTTCATGGTCCTGCCAACTCATCAGGGTATATTTGTGACCCTTGGTGGAACATAAGAGGTTTAATTAAAGCAGATAGGCTACAGGGAGTCTCTGGGAAAGTCACCGGGCCTGGGTTGGAGGGCCACTGGGGCCTGGTTTTTCAGGAGTCTTAGTTGATGAGAAGAGGGCTGTGTGAGGTGGGGCAAGTGTGGCACAGGTGAAAGAGACCACAGGTTGGTCCGCCAGGGAGGACTTCCCAGCAGCTTCCGTGCTGCCTCTGACGTTAGAGACTAACGGGTCTGGAGTGTACCTGGATCCTGTTTCAGTTCTCTGAGCCTCTCGAGAAGCCATGTATAAAGTGGGGAGGCCAGAGAGATGCTGTGGTGTGGGGCACACTTGGGAAGGAGGCTGTGGGGATGCAGAGTGGGTGGGAATGTGGGACAAAGAGAAGTGTGTCCATGGAGAGGAGTGTGAACTGATGGCCCAGGGCCTTGTGCTAGGGACCTAAGGATGAAGGTAAGCCCATATTGTTGTATTTGAAAGGATGATCTGGGGGACCCCTGGGAAATGCCTGCAAAGAGAATGCTCACATTGCCCTAGTGCCAGGCCCATAGCTTATCTCTCCTATCTGCCCACCTGCTTCTTGGTGCTATGGGCTGACACAGAGATTGGGGATACCATGTGAGAAGTGCAGGCATTCATGACACCAGCACCTGGTGTCTCCTCTCAGATAGTGGATAGAGAGGAGAGTGAGTGGGGGAGGGATGTGGGAGAATGAACTTAGAGTCTTAGCACAACAGCTAATCATGGAATGAACTGTTGTCCCCATCATGGCAGGGCTGTGTGACCTTTAAGGATATGGCCATTGACTTCTCCCAGGAGGAGTGGGGACTCCTTGATGAGGCTCAGAGGATACTGTATAGCAATGTGATGCTGGAGAACTTTGCAGTCATAACCTCTCTGGGTAAGACCCTCATGCCCACCCCAGTGTCCTGAACTAGTCTTTGTCTTTCCGCTTTTCCCCAGGGAAAGCTTTGCCCTCCCAGAGTGAGACTGGGTTCTGCTCCCTCCCCTACTCTCTTGACACATGTGCTGTACACTGCCCTGAGCAATTGCTCCCCAAGCACCACCACCTGTCACCTGAGAGTATGCAGAGAACAGTCAGGTAGTCAGGAGTCTTCCGTTCAGCCCAATAGATCCCACCCTTCCCTGCCCAGGTGATATGTCCACATCTACATCACCTCTGTGCTCCAAGTTATGCCCCCTTCCTCTAGCGACACTTCCTGCCTGCCTGTGAAAACACTTCCAGGTGTTGTTATGGTCACTACTGACATGATCCTAGTCCAGTAATAATGTGTCTTAGGCTGGGTTCTCTAGAGGAACAAAACCAGTGATGCTTATGTGTATGCATATATAGAGAGGGCAAGAGGGAGAGGGAGATCTCAAGGGAATCGCTCACACAGTTGTAGAGGATAGCAAGTCCCGAGTCCATGGAGTCATCAGGCGGGAGGCTTCTCCTGCCTCACATAGCTGCAGGGGCTGATCAAGCCAAAATCAGCAGGTAAGATGGCAGGCTGCTAGCTCATAGGCTGTGAAGACAACAGTTTCAAGATCAGCAGGCAATACAATATGCTGCTAGTTCAAATCCAAGGAACCAGAGGTCAGGTAATAACAAACCATATGCGGGATTGCAGTGCAGTGAATTGCTTAGTATGGCCCTTCTAGCCATAGTCCTCCATTCTGTAATGTATTGTAAATCTTAGCTTCTGTGACTGGTTATGGTCCCATTTTGGGGTGAGTTGTCTGTTGAGTTGATGATGCAGGATTAGGGTGGGATGTATCTTGAGTCCCATCTTGCTGGAGTGTGTGACTCAAGTCACCACCCTTAGTTTCCTTAAAGGTGTGTATGTGAATGTTCTGGCAAACTTTGCTCTTGCTCTGGATCCTCCATCTGGCTTTTTGCTGTCTTAGGCTAGGATCTCTAAAGAAGCAAAACCAGTTGTATATATATAGAGAGAGTTTATCTCAGGGAAATAGGAAAGACCACACCACAGCAGCTTTAACCATTTAGCGTCAAGGTTCACCCAAGTTGACACACAATCTTCACTGTCGCAGTTGTCATAACTTCACCCCCAGTTCTTGGTGTTTGAGACAACAGCAGTTGTCCGACCTGTCGTTTGGGTTTATCAGCTCCTGCAACCACATGAGTGAGGAGAACCCTCCAGACTGACGCCTGACCCACATATTTGGGACTTGCCAGCCTCCACAGCTGCATGAGCCATTTCCATGAGTTCTGTGAGACATTACAGCAAGATATGGAATCCTAAGACAGGAGGGAGAGTACTGAGGGGAGGAAGAGCAGTTGATGTTAGAGGTGATGGAGTGGTACAGCAGTTTGGAAAAGTTGGACAGTTGGGACATGTAACCTCTGCCTCATTGGAATCAGCCTTGTGCTGATCCTTGTAAAAGAAATTATTCGAGCAGCGATCCAAATGGAGCAAAAAGCCAGAGAGGTTTACCAGAACGTCCATATATAATGGAAGCAGGCCATACCCTTGAGGAAACCGCCTTTTAACTGATTGGCTGCTCACAGCAGATCTCATCATGGAGGTGATTGCATTATATCAGATCTCATCATGGGGAATGACTACATTGTAACTGTCAAACCTCTGAGAATCATGGCCAACACACGTTGACACACAGCCTTAATCATACAATGTTTTTTTCCTTTTGGCCTTTCGTGGCTGCCTTGCTCTAGGCCCATGCTAGCTGCTCCCTTGTTCTGTCTTTGCCTTAGGATGTACATCATGCAGGTCTTATGGAGATGGATTTCAAGGACAGCCCTGATTACTTCTCAAGGTGAAAATGGCAAGATGGTGTTAGAGGAGGCGTGGCCCTGCTGAGACACAGCTGGGAGAGGGCATGACATCAGGACTGGAAACCTGTCCTGTATCCACCACAATTTTTTTTTCGCTGCCAGTGGCCAGACCTCATATCTGTCTTTTCTTCCCTACACTTTTCCTTTTACTGACTTTTCCTTCAGCTGTGACTTTTGCCCCTGACTACCCTTACCTTCTGTCCTCTACATTTCACCTGTCTTTCTACTGGTCCCTCTACAACATTGCCCAACATAGGCCTACATGTAATGTGTCATGAGGTGTCCACATGTCCTTAAACAGCCCTGGAACATGAGCTACCTGGTTGTAGTTGTGTTTTCTTTGAGCACAGCTAACCCTCTGCACATCATACACTTGTCACCATCAGATAAACCTCTGCTAAAGCCTTGTGACAGAAAAGGGAAGCCCTGCTTATTCTTCCTGCGCTGCACCTTGTATTTGTTCTGGTTTGGCCACGTTGTGTGATAAAGTTCAGGACTGCAAAGAGCCCTGCTTCACCCTCCCTAGATTTTCATCTGCCCAGAATACTCCTGTTGATTCATTCCTTGACATCTGACACATTTTTTCTTTATTCTTGTAAATTCTATAGCACAGCATTTTCTAAATCAAGGTTTACACTTGTATTATTTAGTGGCATCAGTTACATTGATCATGTGGTGTAACTATGACTGATAGTCACTGCCACATTTTTAGTGGACCTTTTCCACAGCACCAAGGAAAAGACCCTGTAAAGGAACACATTTCACCCCATTTTCCTGTACTTGATACTTTGCTGACTAGTCATTTCAACTATGAATTCTAGCCCTTATCTGCCCCTGCTTTTCCCATATATGTCATCTGATTGCAGTGCTCCCCCTGCAGCATCCTCCAGCATTAGTCCCCCCCCATAAGGTGTCATGAGATGTGCATATATGCTTAAAGAGCCCTTGGACAGCAACCGTTGGTTCCAGTGGCGTTTTCTCTGAGCGCAGCTAACCCCCTGCACATCATGCTTGTGTCAGCAGCATGGAGTCCTGATGGCAAAGGAGAGTGTTGGAAAACGCTGCCACTTCTTGTGCTGTACCCCACTCCTGGCCTGCCTCTGGTGAGGCCACCCCCATTCTGTGATGAAGGCCAGAACTGCAGGAGCTACTTTCTTACCTCTCCACAGTGTCATCTGCCAGAGTAGTCCTATGCACTCATTTCCTGACTTTTTTTTTTTTTTTCCAAATCTTGTAAATATGTGACAGCATTTTTTAAATCACAGTTTTTCATATATGTAATTAAGTAGTATCAGTTACATTAATCATGTAGTGCAACCATGGTCAGTAATTATTGTGATAGCATGCATTTTCAGTAGGCATTTTCCTCCTCACAGTGGAAATGTGCATTAAAGCATTTCTCTGCTTTCAGGGTGTTGCCATGGAACCAAGGAGGAGGAGGCGTCTTCTGAGCACAGTGTTTCTGTAGGAGGAGTGTCACAGGTCAGCCCTCCACAGGCAGGTCCATCCACCCAGAAGCCTCATCCCTGTAAGAGGTGTGTTTCAGTCTTGAATGACATTTTGCATCTCTCTGAGCACAAAGCAAGCCCTGGAGAAAACTCATACTTGAATGGAATGTGTATGAGAGCTTCCTGGCTTAGTGAAGATCTTCCCCAGCAACAGAAGAATCACAGTGGAGAGAAACCCTTCAGGATGCACATGGGCAGGAACTTGTTGGTGAAGAACTGCAGATTCCAACTGTCCAAGCAGCTCTTCTCTTTTGTGGAGGCTGGGAAGGACTCCCTAGTCCCTTCAGGCCTTCTCCAGTACCAGGCCACACCCAACAATGAGAAACCCCTACCTGAGCTTGAGTATGGGGAGTCCTTTCATAGTGGAAAGTGTCATTACAGCTGTGAATGTGGAAAAGATGTTACCTGCAAACACAAATTTGTTCACCAGAGTGTCTCTACTGGAAAGGAGCATTGTGAGATTAGCAAATGTGAGAAACCCATCAAGTGCAATTACAGACTTGTACAGGAGCACAGAATTCAAACTGGAAAAAGGCCGCATGAGTGTGGTCAGTGTGGGAAATTGTTCAGGTACCTCTCCAGCCTTAATAACCACCAGCGAATACACACGGATGCGGGACCTTACAGGTGCAGTCACTGTGGAAAATTCTTTACCCATAATTCCAACCTTGTAAAACACCAGAAAGTCCACACAGGAGAAAGGCCTTATGTGTGTAGTGAATGTGGGAGATATTTTCGCTTAAACTGCCAACTTACTAAACACAAGAAAATTCACACTGGACAAAGGCCTTTTGAGTGTAGTGAATGTGGGAAACGTTTTCGCCAAAACTGCCAACTTAGTGAACACAAGAAAATTCACACTGGAGAGAGGCCTTATGAATGTAGTGAATGTGGGAAATCCTTTAGCACAAATGGCAGCCTTACAAAACATAGGAGAGTTCACACTGGAGTTAGGCCTTACGGGTGTGGTGAATGTGGGAAATTCTTTCGTGAAAGGTATACTCTTATTCAGCACCAGAGAAGTCACACAGGATTGCATCCTTATGAGTGTGGAGAATGTGGGAAATCATTGCGTGATCCCTCCAGCCTCATTCAGCATCAAAGAGTCCACACTGGAGAAAGACCCTGTGAGTGCAGTGAGTGTGGGAAGTTATTTAGGAATAACTCCCACCTTATTGCACACAAGAGAATTCATACTGGAGAAAGGCCTTATGAGTGCACTGAATGTGGGAAGTCTTTTAGCCAAAGGTATACCCTTTTTCAACATCAGAGAACTCACACGAGCAAGTCCTTATGAATGTGAAGAATGTGGGAAATCATTGTGCAGTCACTCTAGCCTGGTTAAACATCGAAGAATCCACACTGGAGAAAGACCTTACGAGTGCAGTGAATGTGGGAAGTTCTTCAGCAGTAGCTCCACCCTCATCCAACACCGGAGAGTCCACACTGGAGAACGGCCTTATGAGTGCAGTGAATGTGGGAAGCTGTTTAAGGATAGATCTCATCTTAGACTACATAAGAGAATTCACACTGGAGAAAGGCCTTATGAGTGCCGTGAATGTGGGAAATCCTTTACTCAAAGCTACACCCTTTCTGAACACTGGAGAATCCACACTGGGGAATGCCCTTATGAGTGCACAGAATGTGGGAAGTTGTTTAGGAATAGATCGTACCTTATTGTACACAAGAGAAGTCACACTGGAGAAAGGCCTTATGGGTGCAGTGAATGTGGTAAATCCTTTAGCCAAAGCTCCAGTCTTAATATACATAAGAGAATTCATACTGGAGAAAGACCTTATGAATGCAGTGAATGTGGGAAATCCTTTAGTCGAAGCTTCAACCTTATCCAACACCAGAGAATTCATAAAGGAACAAATATTTATGCATGTGGTGAATGTGGGAAATCATTTAACAGTCAGTCCAGCTTAATTTTTCATCGGAGGGTCCACACTGGAGAAAGGCCTTATGAGTGCAGTGAATGTGGGAAGTTGTTTAGGAACAGCTCCCATCTTACTGTACATAAGAGAATTCACACTGGAGAAAAGCCTTATGAATGCAGTGAATGTGGAAGATGTTTTTGCCAAAAATACAAGCTTACAAAACACAAGAATATTCATGCTGGAGAAAGACTATAAGAGTACAGTGAATGTGGGAGATGGTTTAACAGTAGTTACCACTTTATTGTACACAGTAAGGTGTGTGTGTGTATACATACACATGTAATCACACACACAGACTTTTGTATTTAAAAGACTTAGTAAAGTGTCATTGACATGAAATAGTACATATTTAAATGGTACAATTTGGTAGATTTCAACAGGTACATGCATCTGCACAAAACCACAAGCACAGAATAGTGAACATAACAATCACTTGGAAAATTTCGTAAAGTTAGTGTTTAATTGTGCCTTCCTGCAGCTCATTTTCTACCTCATTTCAGACAACCACAGGTCAGATATGTCACTGTAGACCAATTTGCATTTTGCAGAATTTTATATAAATCATGTAGCAGGTAGACCTTTTGTATTGTCTTTTAGCAAAATTATTTTGAGAATTTTCAATATACTACCAATGTCAATTATATTACTGATCAAAATGATCACTATTACATTGCTTCTTATCTTTGGAGTATTCTGTTGAGATATACTGTAATTGTCTTATGCATTCAACTTTTGGTGGCTTTGTTGTTTTGGGTTGTTTCCAGTATGGGGCTTTTAAAAATGAAGCTGCTATGAACATTCAAGTATAATACTTTGTATGGATATATGCTGTCATTTCTCCTGGGCATGTATGTAACTAATAGTGGAATGGTGGGGGCATATGATAGGTGTATATTTATTTTTTTTAAAAATTCCAAACTTTTTTCATTGTATTTGTACCATTTTATATTCCTAACAGTAGTAAATGAGAGTTCCAGTTGTTTCACACCCTGGCCAAAACATGATATTGTTGCCTTTTTAATTCTAGCCATTTTAATAGTTGTGTAGTGATACCGTGTTGTAATTGACAGCTAACCAGAAGGCAGATTGGGGAATCTACTTCTGTAGTGATAACGCCTCAGAAACCCAAGAAGGGGTTGCTATATGAGTCAGATGCAACTTGATTGCAGTGAGTTTGGCTTATTTGGTTTGGTTGATGAACAGTGATGTGGCGTATCATTTCATGATTGTCACCATTTTTAAATTAGAGTTTTTTTTGATGAGTGAGTTTTGAGAATTCATTCTGTACGCTGGATTCAATTATTTTATCAGATAATGCAATTTGCAAGTATTTTCTCCCAGTCTGACTTGTTCTACTTCTCATGATGTTGTCTTTGAAAGATACTTTTATTTTTAATAAAGCCCAGTTTGTGAACTTGATTCTTCATCTATTGTGCTTATAGTTTTACCCAAGAAATTGTTGCAAAACCCAAAGATAAGAGATATTTTATACTTTCAAGCTTAAAGTGAGATCTATAAATAATTTTGAGTTAACCTGTATTTGTGTAAAGGTCATATATATGAGGTAAATGTCAAAGTTATTTAGATTTTGTTTTTCCCTCATATGGTTATTCACTATTTCCAGCAGTATTTGTTGAAAAAGTTCATCCTTTATTGAATTACTTCAATTAATGACTTTAACTTTGGTAAGTTACAGGTATGCGTCACCCCATGATACGTTCTGTGAGGTAGGACATTAGTGATTTGGACATTTGTGAACACCCTGTTAAAACATTATGGGATCCTATTTCCATTTATCCTTGTCACTGCTCTTGCTATTGATGCACTGCTGATACTGCTGACGGAGGCCAGAGGCACTGGCTGTGGGAGGGAATTGAGAGGAAGTGAGCAGGGAGGGAGTGGGCATGCACCCCATGTTGCCCACTCTTTTACCCACCTGAGCAGGAGGATCATCTGCTGCCTGTGCCTTCTTGCTCAACAAAGCCCAGGAGCCATGGCCCAGTGCTACAAGAGTCTGAATTTGAGGTTTTTAAAGTCATTAGGGGGAGATAATAACCAAAAGAAGAGCTGCTTTCCATTAAAAAAAGAAAAAAATGAAGCTTATGGGACCACAGAGGTACAGACTATCGGATGTTGTGTGAACAGACCTTAACTGGCACATACTACATGTATTAATGTATAACATCCATTGACGACACGTGCAGATATATCTCTGGCCTTTATTCTGTTTCTTTCTTCTACTTGTCTACTTTAACTGTGAAACCACATTGTTTTGCATATTGTAGCTTTGTATTAAAACTTGAAGAGATATAGAATTGTTCAACCCCTCCCATTTTGTTTATAGAAAAACTTTTTTTTTACATATCTTCTATATCTTTCCTTATTTATGTAAATTTTAGAATTAGTCTGTGAATTATTACAAAATTCTAAGATTTTGATTGGTAGTATGTTGATTGTATAAATCATTTTGGGGAGATTTAAACTCAGTATTTTTGATTCTTACAATCCATGAACATGGTATATCCAGGGATTATTTTGATTTTCTTTGTTTTCTCTCACCTATGTTTTATTTTTTAATTCTCTCATTCTTGTTTGTAGTTTTAGTACAGATTAGGAGTTCTGGTGCCTAAGGCACTTGACTGCTAACCAGAAGGTTGGTGGTTCAAACCCACAAGGACTTCCATGGAAGGAAGATGAGGCAATCTACTTCTGTTAAGGTTTACCAACTCAGAAACCCGGTGGGGGTTGCTATGAGCTGGAATTGACTTGATGGCAGTGATTTAGGTGTTTTTTTTTTTTTTTTAATTACTAAAATTTAATTTAGTAAATGTTATTTCATGTCTTTTTAAATTTGTCCCTAGCTACTTCTTCATTTTGATGTTCATTTAGATGCACTGCTTTTCAATTTGTTTAAAATTGTTTGCTGTTAATAGTATTGAGAAACAAATTGATTAATAAAGTGATCTTATCTCTTATAATCTTACTAATCTCCCTTATTCTGTTAGTTTATTTTCCACATTTACAATTATGCCATTATTAACAAAGTAATTTTAAGAGTTTTTTTTTATTTCCGCCTTAACTGTATGCTTATTAATTATACTCTTAAACCCCTTTTCTCTTCCTTGAACTGCCAATGCTATGTGATACAGAAATGTTGAGAGTGATGGTCCCTGTGTTGTTCCTAATCTTCAAGGAAAGTGTTCTGGTTACCTAGTGCTGCTCTGACAAGACTATACCACAAATGGGATGGCTTGAACAAACAGGAATTTATTCTGTTACAATTTTGGA